CTAAGTCATTGTCTAGTCTGCTGTGCAACCTTGGAATGCGCATGCTAAATCATAGAGAATGTGGAGCGCCTGAATGCGCTGATACTCTTTTAGGATTATCATTGCCTGGCACTGACTCCAATACTACTATTAGACGGTTAGATGTAAATATACTGAGAAGTAGGAAATTGAAAACTCGTAAAGAGATTGGAGAGGAGCTGGAGGGTGAATCCACAGACATATTTTGTCCATCCCTCATAGATAATCACTATCCTAACAGACCTAAGGAATTAGAATCTATGCATCTGTACGATTTTGCTATGTGGTATGACGTTACTAAAAATAAACCGTCTGAAAAAACTGAATATTATGAAATCCGTGCTTCTTTGTTTTTGAAAAAAAGGAGCAGAGGCTATCTTATCAATCATTATAAGTACAATGTTCAAATCCAACCTGAGAATTATTATTTCTCATTATTATTATTATTCAAACCTTGGAGAAAAACCGACGAATTGAGAAATGGTTTTAACACATATGCGGAGGCTTTTTTGTCGCTAGAATCACAATTGACAGAAGCAGTTCAATATCACGAACGAATAACGGATATTCAAGAAGCGCGTGATCATATAAAGGAAGAAATTGAAAAGAACGTGTTGAATACTGTAGAACAAGAAGAAAATGATCAAGGCGAACACCCAATAGACTGTGTCCCCGTTGAAACTGTTGGCGCCATGAAAGATTTTAAAGACGCGGGAAACAAATTTGACTGTGGTGATCTTCAAGATATGATTTTGGAATTGAACCATGATCAGAAACGGATATTTGATGCAGTTACTAAGTCCTTGACGTCTAACGATAACATTCTCAGACTTTATGTGAGTGGAGAAGGTGGCACTGGGAAAAGTTTTTTAATAAAAACTATCAGACACTGGTTCAAGCAGATTATCGGGAAAGACGCAGCAATAACTGCTCCTACTGGAATCGCAGCTTTTAATATCGAAGGTCTTACCATACACCGATTATTTCAATTACCTGTAGAACATGGGCATACAGCCCAGTATAGGCAACTTAGCGATGCAGTCCTTCAAATTGTACGGGATCAACTAAAAAATGTTGCTTTAGTAATCATCGATGAAATTTCGATGGTTTCTAACGTAACTTTCCTGTACATACATCTACGACTTACAGAAATATTTGATACTGCAGATTCCGATGATGCTGATTGGTTCGGAAAAAAGCCTATGCTGCTATTTGGTGACTTACTACAACTTCCTCCTGTTCACGAAGAACCTGCTTTTATACAATTATCCAATAAGAGTATAGAGAAAAATGTTGGAGGGTTAGGTTCTTATAATTTATGGTCTGCCTTGTTTAGCTATGACGAATTGACAATAAACATGCGACAGAAGGGTGATAATATTTACAAAGACATCTTGTCGAGAATTCGCACCGGAGTAGTGACCGATTCGGATACAAAACTTTTAGAATCGAGGAAATTAAATTTCAAAGCGACAAATTGTTGTAATGACCGATTAAACGAATTATGTGATTACATGCTTAATGTGGGATCTAATACGGTGTGTTTACTTCCCACATGTGTTCAATGCGATGTTTTGAACGCTGCAATGCTGAGTCGATTTCCATCCGAAGAAATCCATTTGATTGCTCATGATACAATGAATTGTGCACCGTACTTGAAAAAAAAGGTGTCAAAGGTACTAAACAATAATGACGATGATAGCTCCCGAACGGCGGAACTTGCAAGGGTCGTAATTGTTAAGGTAGGAGTGCAAATCATGATTAGAAGAAATATCGATGTTACGCTAGGTCTTGTCAACGGTACCATTGCTAAACTTGTTTCAGTTATACGAGGTGTTGATAATGACGTTGAAAAATTAAATATTATATTACCCACGGGGCAAGAACATATAATAGAACGTGTGTTCCGCCCGGTCAACTCGGGTTTTTCCGCTCTTTATGGTGCCAGATGCGGAACCGTGATTCAGTCGAAAAGTCTTCGAATATTCCGCATCTGGCAAATGTCATCGTAAAGTAATCGAATTGCCTCGTCGAACGAGCTATATTGTTCCGCGGGTGGTCCGGTCTTCGAGGCCAACGTCGGCCGACCGGCAACGACCATTGCCAACCCGTGGAACAATATAGCCATAAAACAGCTGTACAACACGTGCGGAAACTCAGCGCTTCCTAATCCGGAGTCCCGTTTTTTCTTTTCCTAAGCAAATTACCGCGGCCTTCGACTTGGGGAGGACACCGCGGTCACCCTCTTCCAGGGTGACCGGGGACTCCTCCTTCACAACGGTTGGGTGTGAGGGAGGAGTTTTCCTCCCACTCGGGGCAGGAAAGTGGATCCTCCTTCCCCAAGTCGATGGCCAATCAATCTAATCACAAGGTCAACGCAAAAATCAGTTAACACCCTCAAAATAGTGTGTCGGAGGGGGTTTTGAGCTGAGGAGGAACGGGCTCCGGAAAGATCGCGTCACTCTTGAATCAATCGTGCAGTCAAACGCATCTCGTAGATTTTTCAACTTACCATCTCTATCCCGTAACACGGTTAGAGAAGTACGGATTCGCGAATTCTAGAAACCTAGAGTCGAAGCTTTACAACCTTCGACGACTCTGAGACATCGGTCGTTCGCGAAGCGTACGAAAACATTGGTCCTTCGAGCCGGATTCAGAGACAGTGGACAATACAGTGATAGTGCCAGTGCCACGAACATTAATATTAAATCAGTGCTGAATCAAGACGCAGAATCTGATCAGATCCACACTTGTAAGCAGCCGTGGGTCATAACAACTCGACTTCTACAACGCTGTCGCTCCGACGGCAACTTGAAGCAGCAACTAGAGTACTCAACGAATTGGACATCGTGCGGACTCATCGTCCTTTACTTCCTCGCTCAGGTAGGTTCACAAGTTTATTGAATCGATCGATCAATCCCCGTCTCACCACCCTCTATATTTCACAATGCCAAACACTTCCGGTCAGCACTCCAGTCATTCTGCTGCCCACGGTATCACTGTCAGCACCTTGCGACGCAAACGCGGTAGCGTAATCGGACAAATTACCGCATTTACTAAATTCCTTGACGAATTCGAACAGTCAACTCAACGGAATTTCCTTCTGCTTCAAACTCATTTAAGCGGCCTAAACGAAACGTGGAAAAAATTCGACGATATTCAATTCCAATTAGAAGAACTCGACGAATCCGAGGAACCGCGACGTTACGAAATTCAAGGCGAATATTACGCGACGATAACACGGGCGTCCATGCTTCTCGATACGCAACACCCGACAGCGCCCGCGCGACGAAACACCACAGAATCCAACGCGTCAAACGTTATAGCCCCGATGGCCATCAAATTGCCGGAAATGCGGCTACCAACTTTCGATGGAGACCTGGAAAAATGGACCTCATTCTACGACATCTTTGCATCTATGATAGACCGTAACGAGAATTTAACGCCGGTTCAGAAATTACAGTACTTGCGATCCACGTTAACGGGAAAGGCTGCCGCGTGCATCCAATCATTGAACACGACAGATAGCAATTACGTAGACGCAATTGAAATCCTAAAGGAGAAATTCGACTGTCCGCGACGGATCTTACTAAGCCATTTCAACGCGATACAGGACCTCCCCAAGATAACTAAGAATGCGCCGAGCGACTTAGGAAATTTCGTCGACGCCATTAATCAACATCTTCGCGCCCTAAAGAATTTAAGCGAACCCATTGAGTCCTGGAACACCGTGTTGAATGCGATCATCCTCTCGAAAATAGATACCGACACCGCGTGGCACTGGGAATTGACGTTAAAGGATAAGAAAATGCCGTCATACACCCGATTGTTGGACTTTTTAGAGAAACGCGCGAATTGCAGTCCAGCATCCATTACCAAGCCGTCAACATCGTTTTCACGTCAGAATAACCCTTTTGAGAATAGAAAACATCAAATCTCGCGGAATCACGCCTTTCTAACCACCGAAATCCAATCACATTCGACTTGTAATCAAGAAACCGCGTCCGCTACCAGAAAAAATCCTCAATGCGCAGTTTGCAACGAGGAACATCCAGTCTGGACATGTGAGACTCTACGATCACAACCCATACAGCGACGAATAGCCACCATCGAAAGGGCTTCGCTGTGCACGAATTGCTTGCGAAGGGGGCACGATTACAAAACGTGTGATCGAGGTTCATGCCGTATCTGCCACAAACGACACAACACATTGCTCCATCAAAGCGAGCAACACGGGCCCCATGAACATTCACTTCCGCTCTACGAACCAGCAGCCTCGATAGAATCATTGCCTTCAACATCCACATGACTAGATTCACGCGCGGCAAAACAGAATGCATTCATCGTCAACTCAATCACGAACGAACTCCTTGTGACCGCTCAACTCCAAATTCTCGACAAAAATCAACAACCCATCGCTTGTCGTGCACTCATCGACACGTGTGCCACAACCAATTTCATCACCGATGACTTGGCTAAAAAACTCAAGATTCCATACAATAACTGCTGCATTCCCATTGGAGCCCTTAACGCCTTGTCAACAATAGCGAAACGATCTGTTGCTACCACCATCCAGTCGAAAGATCGCACCTATCAACGCGCACTAACTTTTCTCACCATTCCGTGCATTTCATCGTCTCTTCCTGATCAGCCCATTGATCGTTCAGCCATTATGATCCCGCGAAACATCAAGCTCGCGGACCCCGCCTTTCACAGTCCAGCTCCAGTCGACCTTCTACTTGGTGCTGGAGTGGCCCTCTCGCTATTAAGTGTCGGCCAGGTAAATCTATCATCCCCCGCGGGTCCAGACTTGTATCTGCAGAAGACGAGACTGGGCTGGGTCATCGGAGGGAAGCGCACCATCTGAGCGCCCAGTCCGTGGCTCTTCATGCCACACATCCGCCACTCTTCAATTTGATCTCGCCCGTTTCTGGGAAATTGAAGAAGGACCTCAAGCCTCACATCTGTCCGACGCAGACAGGATGTGCGAGGCACATTTCAAAGAAAACACCATTCGCACCACCGACGGCAGATATGTGGTAGCTCTCTCTTTCAACCAACAGCAAAACCAATTGGGGGAATCCAAATCAGGAGCCCTCAAGAGATTTTTATCTCTCGAACGGAAACTACAACGAGACCCGAGTCTGAAACATGCCTATCATGCGGTCATCCAAGAATATCTCGATCTCGGGCACATGTCGAAAATTCCGAATGATCAGCTTTTAACACACAATTGTTATTATTTGCCCCACCACGGAGTCACAAAATTTACAAGTCAGACAACAAAATTAAGAGTAGTATTCGACGGATCAGCAACCACAACTTCAGGAATTTCTCTCAACGATACATTGTACACCGGTCCAAAAATCCAAGATGATCTTCTATACATCCTGTTACGTTTTCGGATACACCGCTATGTGCTCACAGGCGACATCGAAAAAATGTATCGACAATTCTTCGTTCGTCAAGAAGACCGAAAATACCAGCGCATTCTTTGGCGTGACTCGTCCGGGAAAATCAACACCTACCAATTGAACACAGTCACATTCGGATTGTCTGCTGCTCCCTATCTCGCCATTCGTTGTCTGACTCAGCTCGCCCGTGACGAAGGCCACCGATTTCCGCTCGCATCAAAAATTCTTACTCGCGACTTTTATGTGGATGATGCACTTACTGGAGCATCGACAGTACAAGAAACTCTCCACATAAGAGACGAGCTCACACAGGTCCTAAAATCTGCAGGGTTACACGTCCGACAGTGGGCATCAAATGACAGATCTCTACTGCAGGGCTTGTCAACCCAGGACATCAACAAGCAACTCCATCTCGGGGAATCAGACACATTCAAAACTCTCGGGATCGTCTGGAACTCTTCAGACGACTCCATCGCGTACTCGGTTAAAACCCTATCCTCCACGCATCACGTTACCAAACGATCTATTAGTTCGGAAACAGCTCGAATCTACGATCCATTAGGCCTCCTGGCGCCCGTTATCATCACGGCCAAGATCATGCTTCAGAAGATTTGGACCATGAAGATCGATTGGGATGAATCCCTACCTATGTCCATTCACACCGAATGGATGCAATATTATAGACAGTTACCTGTGCTGAACAATATAACTTTCAATAGAAAGACCGTTATCGACTCCGCGATCAAGACCGAACTACATGGATTCTGCGATGCCAGCGAGAGGGCCTATGGTGCTTGCCTCTACCTCCGGTCAGTCGACGCCAATGGAAATGTCCGAACGAACATCCTCATCGCAAAATCCAAAGTAGCTCCATTGAAAACACAAACCATCCCACGTCTCGAACTCTGCGGAGCCCTTCTTTTATCTTCTCTAACAACAACGGTGCAACGAGCATTACACATAACTGTCGATCGCACCATCTTCTGGACCGATTCCACAATTGTCCTTCACTGGTTGGAATCCTCTCCCCATCTGTTGAAAACCTTTGTCGCGAATAGGGTGTCAGAAATACAAAATAAAACCAACATCGCGAACTGGCGACATGTCCCTACGAACGACAATCCAGCTGATCTCATATCCCGAGGCCAGTCTCCAGAGGAATTCCTCCGCCCATCCATTTGGACGTATGGACCAGAATGGCTTTGCAAAGACGAAACTCATTGGCCAACGTGGGAGATGACCATCCCGAGCGTTCTTCCCGAGCAGAAGGCCACCTTGTGTCTGACCACTACTCATGTGGATATCCCTATCCTAGAAAGATACTCGTCATGGGGAAAAATGCGTCGGATCACCGCCCGCTGTCTCCGATGGAGGCGGATCAGCACCACGAAGGGCCCTCTTACATCAACAGAGATCAATTACGCACACAATGTCATCACCAAATTAATCCAACGGTTGCATTTTACCAAGGAACTTCAACAAATCAGGAACAATCGAACCCACACAATTAAAGGCAAGTTTCAACGTCTAAGCCCGTTCGTGGATCAAAATGGAATATTACGGGTCGGCGGTCGATTAAAGCATTCTCCAATGCCATTCCATCAGAAACACCCGATCATACTGCCCAAAACAAATACAACCAGACTAATAATCGAAAGCGAGCATCGCGCTCAACTGCATGCAGGCGTGCAAGCCACTCTGTATGCAGTTAGAATAAAATATTGGCCCATAGACGGTAGAAGCCAGGTATGGCAAACACTGAAACATTGTGCACGCTGCTGTCGAGCTCACCCACCTCCTGTGGAGTACATCATGGGTGACCTACCGAAGGCGAGAGTCACAGAAACCCGTCCATTTACGAACACCGGGGTCGATTACTGTGGATCGTTCTTTATCAAGGAAAGAAATCATCGAAATCGCAAGCGTGTGAAGGTCTATGTGGCTGTTTTTATTTGCCTCGCAATCAAGGCAGTACATCTGGAAGTTGTGAGTGATTTGACGACTGAAGCTTTTATCGCGGCACTTCGACGCTTCATCGCGAGAAGGGGTTTTTGCAGCAACCTATACTCTGACAACGGAACAAATTTCATTGGGGCAAACAACGAATTACGTGAACTTCGCGAACTCCTCCAATCAGACGACCATCACGAGAAGGTTCAACATTTTCTTACAGACCGAGCCATCGACTGGCACTTCATCCCACCGCGTACCCCACACTTTGGTGGCTTATGGGAAGCCGCGGTAAAATCATTCAAGTATCACTTAAAACGCGTCGCAGGGGCAGAACTCTTTACCTTTGAAAAATTTAACACCTTAATTACAGAAATTGAATCCATCCTAAACTCTCGTCCTCTAACTCCCATATCATCAGATCCTAATGACCTCCTCGTCCTCACCCCCGGCCATTTCCTGATCGGCGATTCATTAACCTGTGTGCGTGAGCGAGATTTCAGAGACACCTCAACCAACCGCCTCTCCAGCTGGCAACAAATACAGAAGGTTAAGCAGCACTTCTGGACTAGATGGCATCGCGAATACCTCAACGAGCTGACCACCCGAAGCAAATGGACCAGCTCCTCACCTACCATCAAGAAGGGCACCATCGTCCTCCTGAGAGAAGACAATGTACCCTCGATGCAATGGCCTCTCGGCAGAGTGGTCAAGGCCCATCCAGGCGCCGACGGCATAGTTCGCGTGGCCACGGTGAAGACTGCCACCACCGTTCTCGAGCGGAACGTTCGGAAATTGGTACCGCTGCCCATGCAAGTAGATAAGGACGACAACAGTGAGCAACCATCCGCCAGCGAGCATCCATCCGCCAGCGAGCAGACATCATGCAACCAGTAGCATCCAGCGATCACCTCCGTTCCACATTATCAAACGCGGATCAATACCCGCATTTGAACACTCATCATTTTATTAACAATTTAATTAACTACGTGTCATTATTTTAAGGTTGATCGGTACCCTCTCAACGGGGGGAGCATGTTCCGCCCGGTCAACTCGGGTTTTTCCGCTCTTTATGGTGCCAGATGCGGAACCGTGATTCAGTCGAAAAGTCTTCGAATATTCCGCATCTGGCAAATGTCATCGTAAAGTAATCGAATTGCCTCGTCGAACGAAAATACTAGACCTGAGTTGACCAGCGAAGAGCTATATTGTTCCGCGGGTGGTCCGGTCTTCGAGGCCAACGTCGGCCGACCGGCAACGACCATTGCCAACCCGTGGAACAATATAGCCATAAAACAGCTGTACAACACGTGCGGAAACTCAGCGCTTCCTAATCCGGAGTCCCGTTTTTTCTTCCCACTCGGGGCAGGAAAGTGGATCCTCCTTCCCCAAGTCGATGGCCAATCAATCGAATCACAAGGTCAACGCAAAAATCAGTTAACACCCTCAAAATAGTGTGTCGGAGGGGGTGTTGAGCTGAGGAGGAACGGGCTCCGGAAAGATCGCGTGACTCTTGAATCAATCGTGCAGTCAAACGCATCTCGTAGATTTTTCAACTTACCATCTCTATCCCGTAACACGGTTAGAGAAGTACGGATTCGCGAATTCTAGAAACCTAGAGTCGAAGCTTTACAACCTTCGACGACTCTGAGACATCGGTCGTTCGCGAAGCGTACGAAAACAACGTGTATGTGTTAAATTTGAAGTAATGGATAGAGCGTTCGTTATTAGAAAACAATTTCCGATTTGCCTCAGCTATGGTATAACTATTCACAAAAGTCAGGGACTAAGCTTGCAGAATGCTGTCGTAGAAGCAGGTAATTCAATATTTACTTGCGGACAAATTTACGTTGCTCTTTCACGGGTGACCACATTACAAGGATTGCATCTTATCAATTATAATCCATCTTCCGTAAAGGCACAAGAATCGGCTATAATAGAGTACAATAGATTGCGAAAAAAATATAGACCTGATCTTATGACTATTTCAATTTCTAAAAAACGCATCCTCAAAGTTTGTGATGCTGTTTGGGCGGTACCTAATTATAATGTATCCGAATGTCAGAATACTAATGATCACATGGTGGATATCACTCAATACTGCGTAAGAGGTCTCCCGAATTCTGATGGTGCGTCTTGTTATGCGAATGCCACAATCCAATGCATGTTATATTGTTCATCCATAAGAGAAAACTTATTAACGACTGAAAAAGCTGATCATATTATAAAAATCTTTATGGACCAATATAAATCGGATCAAAATCCAAACATAATATTGTTGCGACGGACTGAAGATGCATCGTTGCGGCAACGTGAAGACTGTTCCGCAACGATGTGAAACTGCTCCTTCGAACGAGCGGAAGCGAGAGCCCGTTCCTTCCGGTTGCCAGAGGAACCGGCAACGATTCAAAAGAGGAGAACGACGAGAGACCTCGTAGAGTAAAGACGTGTTGACAAAGCTCTGTTAATAAAGTTGCCTATTCATCGGTTGTTAGTTTCCAGTGTTGTGTTTAGTTGTGTTTTAATGAGTTCGATAAGAAACACCCCGTCCCGGCGCAACAATATCATTACGTCAATTCGCAGGAGAAAAATACGCTTACAATCAGCTGTGTTCGTAGACTCCGCGGATGAGACGCGCTTGCTGTGTGACGCGTCGACGAGGGTCGTAAGTCCTCGTCACGAATATTTTCGACACCCGGAAGAATGCACGTTTAAGATCCCTACGTCCTGTTAAGTCCGTTGGGATTAATTGGGTTTGAAATAAGCTGGACAACGTGTGCAGGAAAAACTATATATTTTTGTATAATAATTAAATTGTGTTCGTGAAGATTGTTTTCGCGTTTTGTGTTACGATACCGAGTTCGTGGTATACTGGTCAGAAATCAAGTACCGCCCGGCGATCGGGACCCTGGCTATATACCCCTGGTCCCGATCGTCTTTTGGATTTTCTTCGCGCCGGGTGCAAAAGTTCGAGGCGCGTGCCGCGGAACATTCTCGGGCCTTCGAGGATCGAGAATATTCCGCGACACGTGCAATCGATCGATTTTGCACCCGGCCCGAATCGGTTGCCCCCGGCACCGTTTCTAACGGACCTCACCGATGAGTAATATAGAACATAGCAAGATTCCGTGTGCTATGGAACAAGCTGCATGATGCAGCTGAGTTTATTACCTCTCTTTGTGATCATGAGATTCTGATTAAGAATGCAGTACAACACGAAATAATAACGGTATTAAGATGTTTAGCGTGTAATTACACAAGTACTACTATTAGTACAAATTGTGTGGTACATCTTGCACTGCCCAAGATGGTAAAAAAAAATCATTTGAATTTCAAGATATAATAAAACACAATTTCACAGGATGGAAAAATCTGAAAGATCCGTGCAATAATTGTGATAATGCAAATTCAAACACAATGAAGAAAGTCGATATAACTGCTTCCAAACAAATTCTTATTGCAAAATTACATTTGTTCGATCACGATAGTAATGGAACAACGAAAGTAGAAAATTTCTACATCAAAGCAATACCTACTACTAAAATACAAATGGTAGATCACTGTTACAAACTTAAGGCAGCGATTTTTCACCGCGGTAAAAGTATTTCCGATGGTCATTACACGAATATGGTAAGGGGTAAGGGTACAACGTGGGTATCCGTTGATGATTTACGAGTAGAAAAACAAGCTTGGCCACGAAATGCTAAAAATGCATACATATTTTTCTTCGAAAGGTGTTAATTGTGGTTGTTAATACAGTTCAATGTTAAATACGTTCAGCGCCATAAGCTGCTTCGCGCACCATGACTGTACACAAAGTACTATACATATAATTCATATAGATCGGCAATGCAGTGCACATGGTTTCTTTTCGTAGATGGTAAACTTACGTAGAAGTTATCCTTAATCAAAAAATAAGTAAAGTAAACTCGCTGAGCTGCTTTGCGCTATTCCGAGTATTCCGAGTAAGCTTTACTGGCTGCATACGCGCCTTATGTTCTAACATCACTCGATAGGCTGCAGTGCGCCGTAAACACGTGGACATGTGACGAAGATAGATCAGAATTTATCATTTATTGGGATTTTCTTACTTTTTCCTTATTTTTAGGACCCGTGACAGTGATATAATAATAATATAGAAGATCCCCAGTGCATGTATTATATGTTTCTGAGGCAGAATTTAGCTGGCTATAAGGTACGTGTGTTATTTTATGATTTTGTAAATAATGTTTCGGGCAGTGTTTATATGTATGATTATTATAGTCAGACGAGAAGGGGTATGACAGGGTAATGAAAGTGACAGTTACCCATCATGTCCCTCACAAACCTAGATATAAAAATCAAAGTTTCTTATTGTTCCAGGATGGTTTGATACTACATACGTAAGACGGACCGAGGAAAATGATACTTCTTTTCTAATAATTAGACCAAAATAATTGATTCTCGTGCCAATCACAGAGCAAAAGACTCATATATCAAGAAAACGTGGAAACACCGCAATTATAACATCCTCATTTCATCAGGATCACATACAGATTTTGCACAAATTAAAATTTACCTTAAGAAGTTATACCCTTTTTTGACCAAACATGGCGGAAAAATCGACAAAGAATTTATTAAATGTCCACATGTACAAATTCAACCGAACAATCGGGAGAAAGGACTTTTTCTGAAATTTTCTATTAAAACCTGTACAGAGATTAGGTTGGTGCACAGTTAAACTGAAAGACTTGTTACCAAAGAATGATTCAAACAAAAAAAAATGATTAGTTGATTATGAAAACCTGTTTTATTCATCATCAAACCTTAACTACCCCATCTTGTCCCATCTTCCCCTACAAGCTCAACCTAACAGTCGGGATTGCGGAGTTGTTGCGAGTGCATTTGCTGTTTCGTTATTATTCATCAATAAATTACCAAACAAAGTAACGTACAATCATGCGTTAATGCGTCAACATTTGATCCAAATGTTTCGATCTAATCGTCTGGAAGATTTTCCATACATTCAGGATAAATAAACAATCAATACGTGTGTATGAATACGAATTTGCAAATAATAGTACAATTAATCTTTGAAAAAAGAAGTGAGATCCCCTCAAAAACTTCAAAAAAGTAAAAAAATTACGCCAAGTACATCAAATCAAGTAAATCACAAAACATAGAAGATAATAATAATTACAAAATTAAAAAAAGATGTGAAATCAAAATGAGTTGCCAGTACATAAAGATGCTTTCCAACTACGCTTTAGATGACACAGCTACATATGCACAGCTAAAATTCCATTACTCATAATGGCTATTTATACAAAGAAAACATGTAAATCAGAAAACATAGAAGATAATAATAATTACAAAATTAAAAAAAGATGTGAAATCAAAATGAGCTGCCAGTACATAAAGATGCTTTCCAACTGCGCTTTAGATGACACAGCTACATATGCACAGCTAAAATTCCATTACCCATAATGGCTATTTATACAAAGAAAAAATGTATTAAATAATATTAAGCAGATATATTTTTATACAAATAAATATTTTAATACGAATAAATATTTTATTCAAAATACTTGGCGCTGCGCCCCGAATTGGTGTTGCTAAACTGAATAAACATGTATAAATTGCATCAATCTTTTTCTTTCTTGTGGGTGCGTTCGTAACTGTGTGTGTGCGTGTGCATATGCTACGTATTATATTAGAATTAAATATATGTAGAAAAAATCTGACTGCGTTTCTAATATATGTATGTATATGTTTATGTATTTTAGATTGTAAGGGAGTAATTGTAAATTATTAATACTAATTGAAAGACAATTAACATTTTTTCGGTTTCGCAGCGCCAAGTATTTTGAATAAAATATTTATTCGTATTAAAATATTTATTTGTATAAAAATATATC